CAAATATTAGGGTTGGAATTATTGAGAAGTATAGACTATCATTAGTCACAAAGATATAAGACTAGGACTTAGTGATAACTATACCTAGGTCACATCAAAGGAAAAGCTAAAGTGCTACACAAAGTGCCGCCTAAATTTCGAGTCATACACTTTAATAAGTGAGTGTAAAGTTACTTTCATCTTACACATAGATATGAATTATCTAGATAATTAAATGCAATATGTGCCTACTATATGCGTTTTTGATATCTATGCTAGATGAAATTATATAATATGATTTAATCGTATATGTATTTTATACTTATAATATATTGGGTAGAAAAGGGTCGAGGAAGATGAAATAATGATGATGAGAGGCCATGACTTTTTAGTACTATTGTACTGATGAACTATTCATCTAGCATAGTATAAATAACGATCACAAATATTCTAGACAATCCAGTGGAATATTGCACACTCGCAACCTGTAGGTGTTAATGGGCAATATGTCCATGATTCCATGTCATAATATTGATTGATTTGCTTATAGGGTTGATGCCTAAGCTGGATTTAGTGAGGTGATTAAAGTGGGATTTCCAAACAGTATACCTTATCCCAAACGGACCCTACCTCTGATATGAGCTTACCTGGTTACTCCTTATTAGCTATAGATATGTGGACAGTGGAATTATTGAGAAGTATAGACTATCATTAGTCACAAAGATATAAGACTAGGACTTAGTGATAACTATACCTAGGTCACATCAAAGGAAAAGATAAAGTGCTACGCAAAGTGCCGCCTAAATTTCGAGTCATACACTTTAACAAGTGAGTGTAAAGTTACTTTCATCTTACACATAGATATGAAGTATCTAGATAATTAAATGCATTATGTGCCTAATATATGCGTTCTTGATATCTATGCTAGATGAAATTATATAATATGATTTAATCGTATATATATTTTATACTTATAATATACTGGGTAGAAAAGGGTCGAGGAAGATGAAATAATGATGATGAGAGGCCATGACTTTTCAGTATTATTGTACTGATGAACTATTCATCTAGCAGAGTATAGATAACGATCACAAATATTCTAGACAATCCAGTGGAATGTTGCACACTCGCAACCTGTAGGTGTTAATGGGCAATATGTTCATATGATGTACTTTATCCCCCCGGAAGCAGTATTGTCTACTCGTTACTTATGATGATCCTTAGGATAGGACCCTTGAGATCAGTATTTTAGGATCAGAAAGTGAGAATAACGAGAATGAGTAATTTGGTTAATTATTTGATGTATATATATAATTAAAAGAATTAATTATTATAGGTTGAAAACCCTGTGTGGTCAACAGACTTCCAAGCCTAACCCACTCAGTTTTCTTTGTATCACAGGTAGCGGTATGAAAGCACATGGATGATGCGTTTAAATCTGATGAGAGATTTGAGGAGTTTGTAGGCCATTAGTATGAGTAAAAGTTATAAGGCCTGTAATGAATAGTTTATGCTTATGTTATCTGTATCGATGATGACATCCCACAGTTTTATATATTAATGAAAATTTTTTCCTCGGAAATATTTATTTACATGTTTTGGGAATAGATTTTGCAATAAAAATATACCCTGATTTAAATAAGCATAAAGAAAAAAGTTTTTTTCGGGCCGGGAAAATGGGGATGTCACACTACAGAGGTAAAGTTTTGCGTAATTCCCATTTCTTCGCACCAGTCTCTCATATGATTTTTTAGTAAATTAGGTTTCGTTATCTCAAACTAAGGTGGGTGGTACTCCATATTGGGGATAATTTGTTTCCACATAAATTTAATTATGTTTCTTCATGTTATGGATACTAACGAGTTATGCTTCTATCAATCTTGTGAAGTAGTCAAACGCAACCACTATGAATTTTACCTATCGGGTGTGCTCTACTTGTTATGAAGTGTGTTTTAATGAGATTGTTTTCCAGCTCTGTCTGACTGGTGAACCTTAGACATGGTCTAAGATATCCTATTTTGTAGAGTATTCCTCCAAATAACAAATTGTGGAGCTTTCTCCATTATCTTTCTTTATTCTTTTTTATTTTATGTTAGGATTCCATGTTAGGTGTAGTCATAATATGGTGTCATCTAGTTTGGTCCAACTGGAATGTCATTGACCTTTATTCTGTCGATGCTTCGTCTTATTAGTACCTTTACTAAGAAGTTTTATGTTAAATCCTCGAATGAAAGACCAACCAATTTATTGAGGGCGTCAACGTGTTTGTTTTTGGTTCGGGGGATTTATTGTATCATGAATGTTTTGAAACCTTTTACTAGTCTCTTGACCGCGTTTAGATATTGTTAAATTCATAGTTCTCTTGCTTTGTATTCCTAGTATCTGGTTGGCCACTAACATGGAGTCTACAAATGTCGAAAGATATTTTGTGCCCGTGTCTTTTGCTAGTCATATTCAACTATATTATTTAATGTTAAGAAGTCTAACTTGAGCGCATATGTGGTTTTAAATTGGTTCCTTCCGAGCTTGTGAGGACCGATCTAGCTTCAGATCCTTCCTTGTTGGACGCCCCGTCGGTATGTGACATCTACATTTCACTATTCATAGTTTCTTGCTTTTTCTTGTTTTAGTTAGGTCGGGTTGTGGGGTGTTTTGTGCCTTCGTGTGGGATCTAGGTCAGAAAATCAACCATAACTTGCACTTTGATGCTATTTCAGGGCCAGTTTTTGATATCATGTCCCCCAACTCAATTACCCATTTTTCTAATCGTCATGATTTCTCCGGCTTTAGTAGTACTTGTTTCATGTATTGGTCTGCGAATATTTCAATGTGATGAGCCCAGAAGAATCATCCTAGTCGCCTTTTATCCGCATGTATCAAGGCTAAGGTTAGCTTTTCTCGGTCTGTGTAATTCACTTTAGGTGCTTGTAAAGCTCTACTGATGAAGTAGATTTGGAGTTTTTTTTTCCTTTTAAATACGAGGACGACACCACTGTCTTCTAGTATTGATTCCATGCATAAGGATAATGTTTCTACCAGATCGAGGCTTGCTAGTGTTGGAAGGCTTTGTATTCTTTCTTTTAGTGCGATAAGTGATTTTTCTACTTTTGTGGTCGACAAGACTTTGATACCACTGTTGAATCATGATACTTATTCAAAGATTACAAAACAAAACAAAAAACAAAAGCAATTTATACAAAATATTATGATCAAGCCATTGATCTATGTTTATAAATTTAAGAAACAAATATAAACTACAATGAGGTTTGATGTGTGTTTACTAACAAAAAGAAAACACAAAGATCCAAAGGAGAATCCTTCCATTGCACTTGTACCAAAAGAAACAATCTTCAAAGCAAGAATACCTTCTTCTTTCTCCTTGTCTTTTGTGATTTCTTAGGGACCAAAAAGACTGAAACCCTTACTTGTTGAGGCTAGGGTTTTTGCAAATATGAGGGAGAGGCAAGAAAATTTTGTGATCGACTTAAGGCTGACTTTCATGTCAAATTTCCCACCAAGCAAACCTTTTAATTAAAGCACTCTTTTATGTTAAAATTGCACACCAAACAAACCTTTTAAATTAATCACATAATTATCTATAATAAATAGATAGTTATCTAGTAATAATTAAATATGCATAATTGAAAATTAAATCCCTCTTATTTATAGTTTAAAAATTAAACCATCAAACTATTGAAGAATAACAAACTAGTCATTTTATTTATTTATTCTCCTTTTAGATTGTAGGCGTGCAACCCAATAGGCGTATATATTTATTAGCAGTGTCACTAACTTATTGTGTCTTTCTAACATTTCCAAGCTACTTTTTAGTTTACCAAACTTAAAAAATATGAAAGAAGGTCGAAAAGTTAGATATGTTCTACAAACATAACCTAAATATATTTGAACTATGGTACTTTGGTCAAAAACTCAAAATCATGACTATGGCTGTCAATATGTTTTCACCATGTAAGTCCATCAATTATCCCTGTGACTCCATCAATTATCCTCACAAGTAAATGAGGGGCTCATAACTACATTATTTTCTAAGTCATATAAAATATATGAAAATGTTGCGATGGAAATTAAGGAGTAGAACTTAAGAATGCTTTTGATTTACATAATTTCTTTTGAAAGGTATAGACGTCTTGAGTTGATGTAGAGATCTTGAGTGTAGGCCAACTAAATCTGTGTTAAGTACTTTGTGTGTGGGCTGATCCAGACATCTTGAGTTGCTGAAGCCTGCCTTCTAATCTACTTAAAGAAGATCAACAACGTCTAACTAAGTTAGTATTAGTCAATCCGAAGACTCTAAAGATAAGAAGTTGTTAAAGTTTAAATTTGAAGATGAAGATCATAAGTTCCACTTTCAAGATCAACTTAGAAGTAGGGCCGTCCTGGGGTTTTACACACCCTGGCGAAAATATATAACAATGCCCCGTTGATAGAACTACAACTAACTAACGTAAGGCATATATTTTTAAATCCATAATGTAACAAACACTTTCTTTTTAAGAACTAATATACATAGAAAGCCCTATTTAGTCAAGGGAGGAACAATGCATATCTATATGAACTCGTAATGTAAGTAAATTACAGTATTCTTTAGTATATATTAACTTCAAATCTGATACACATCAATTCTGGATACACACATACACATGGAGCACATTGAATTGGTCCATTCTGGATACTTATTTGTCCATGCAAATGCATATGTATCTCTAAAGTAGCATCATGCATGGCAGTATTATTTAGCAGTAACTTAGGAATTAATATTACGTACACATGACGGCATGCCACTACCAAAAACAATTTAGCTGTATGAAACCACAGGTTAGAATATCGTACACAAGAAATAATAACTTATCTTGGTCCGTATAATTAAAGTACTATGCCGTGTGAAAAATACTTGATTTCCTTTAGATTGTTCAGGAAAACGGTTTATGTATGTATATATATAGGCTTTCTGTTAGCAATCGTAAGCCTAGAGACACAACCCTCTTCCCTTATTGTCAAGTATGCGAAGTCCACGTATCTTGCATAACTTCCAGGACCAATGTAAGTTGCATAAGTTTATATCCATGAAAACTCACTGCTAATTCTAGGATTCTAGTCGATCTCTAATTAGAATACCCTAGCCTCCATTAAAAAAATCACATCCACCAACAAGATTTGGTAGCTTGAAGAGATTTCATACCAGCATCATGTTCATCATCAACCTCAACTTGAAAGAAATTATGTTCTTAGCCCTACTAATCATGAGTCTTCTTCTGTTATATTTTTTCATGACCAAAAAACCTTCATGCAAAGTTTACTTAATAGATTCGGCATGTTACAAGCCTCCAAATTCTCAGAAGTGCAGTAAAGAGATGCTTACGAAAAGAGCAACAGACGCCGGATATTTCTCAGAAGGGACACTGGATTTCATGAGAAAAACTCTTGAAAGATCTGGGCTTGGTGACTCCACTTATCTGGCAGAGATCTTTTTCGAAGAATCACAACAGTATACCCCATCCATGAAAGATTCGAGAAGGGAAGCTGAGATGGCCATTTTTGGATCCATAGATATGCTTCTGGCTAAAACAGGTGTAAGAAGTGATTATATTGGGATCCTAATTGTGAATTGTTGTATCTATAACACAATGCCATCTCTTTCTAGCATAATAGTTAATCAGTATAAGCTTCCAGAGAATGTCGTGAGCTACAATCTTGTTGGCATGGGATGCAGCGCAGGACTTCTAGCAATAGGACTTGCTAAACAGCTCCTACAGGTGCACCAAAACACCTACGCTTTGATAGTGAGTACGGAGACAATTACCGAGAACTGCTACATCGGAGAAGATCTTTCCAAGTTCATCATCAACTGCCTGTTTCGTATAGGCGGCGCCGCCATACTCCTCTCCAACCGCTCCTCCGACCACCATAATTCCAAATACCGCCTTCTTCACACCGTACACAACAACACATCAAGATCAGATCGCTCTTATAACTGCATATTTCAGGAAGAAGACATCGCCGGGACAGTCGGCGTCACCATCAATAAAGACCTTCTCACCGCCGCTATTGCCACCATCGAAGCAAACCTAACCGCTTTAGGTTACTTAATCCTTCCGAAAACAGAGAAACTCCTCTACGTAGTAAACTGCATCGCCAGAAACCTCCTTCCGGGATACAAAATCCAGTCTTACGTACCTAACTACGGCAAGGCCGTCAATCACTTCCTCCCTCACGTCGGCGGGAAGCCGGTGCTCGATGAACTGCAGAAGACCCTACGGTTTTCTGAAGCCGTCATGGAAGCTTCGAGAATGACACTGTACAGGTACGGAAACACCTCCAGCAGCTCGATATGGTATGAGCTGGCGTACGTTGAGGCACAGGGTCGGGTCAAAAAAGGTGACCGGGTCTGGCAGATGGCATTCGGGTCGGGTTTCAAGTGCAGTAGTGTGATTTGGCGTGCAATGAAGACGGTTGATTATGATGACAAGAATCCATGGACGGACGAGATTGCTGGGTTCCCAGTGACTTTGGACGAATGTGAACCAATGCCGGTCTTTTTTGAACCTACCAAGAATAATTAATTAATCTTCCATTTTATTTTTAAGCACTCGATTACTTCTCTATTACAATTTACACATACAATCTTACATTGTAATAATAAATCCTTTGTTTGTAATGGAAATAATTTCCTCAATTTATGTACCGTGAATATTAATGTTTCACTCTTTGTTTTACCTTGGTGCTAGGATGTACCATCAAAATGATTCTCATGACTTGATTTGTTAAATATCCATATTTCAATGTTTTTCTTAAAGAGATGAATTAAAAATGAAGGTCTAGCAAATAATTAAAACTTAACCAATTACAAGGGGTTTATAAGCCAATTGATCATATTGACCTTACTCATAAAAGTTCTATTACTAGACCAATTAAAAGAACACAAAATTATGCTATCAACAAAGTAGAATTTCAAAATCTCCAAAGCATCCAATACGTAGTGATTACAATAACTTCTGGTGTCTCTTTTTGCCATTGAAGCATTACACCATCGTCTACCCACGACAACCACTTAGAAAATGAGAACACCAACGGGACTGTAAAACCACACCAAATCGCTAAGGTTAGCCAAACATCAGACGCCACTTGACGCGAGCACAAAATATGATGTAACATGTCAATGATGAGGTACTTCTAATTTTGACCCTATATTTGAATAATATTGTATTTTGACCCCCTGAAGTTGAAAAGATTGCAAGATTGGCCCATAGTGACATTGTGGTAATTTTTTTAGACTTGAGGTTAGTACGTTGGGCGTACAATGTGTACGCTGAGCGTACTAGGGCGGACCCTAGTACGCAGGGTGTACGCGCAGTATGTCCAAACCCTAATTTTTAGGGTTTTGGCTATATATAAACACCATTATAACTTTATGCCTCATATCCTCAGTAGTCTCCCTCTATGAAAAATGTATTTAAGCAACCCTAAGTGTGAGGAGACCATTTTTGAGCCCATTGGAGTGTTTTGGAGGTGTGTTTGTAGAAGAAGAAGGTGGTGAGAAGAGCTTGGAGCTTGGAAACGTTTTGGATATGAGATTCCCTCATTGTTTGCAACCTCCAGGAAGTATAAAGCTTGCAACTTTATCACTCCATCTTGTAGATCTAGACATTTCATTCCATTAAGTTACTTTTTTTCCTAATATGGTGATTCTTGAGCATGACATGTTCTTCACCCATTAAGTCGTCATTTCAGACCATAGGAAGGGTCTTAAGTTATAAAAATATGGTCTTGAGGGTTAGTGTTACTCCATGCATTCTTTAGAAGGTCTTAAAGCATTAAGATGTTGTACTTTGGGGTATTGGGCACATATGGACATGTAAAGTCATAAAGTTGGAAACTTTATGACACTTGAGGGTAATTTAGCCTTGGATCTAAAGTTTGGACGTGAATGCTTAATGTATTAGGCACTTAATGGGAAAAATGAGATTTTTGGCGTACGTCGTGCGTACCTCAGTGTATGCTATGTGTACGTGGTCCACTCCCCCATTTTCCAGTCACCTCGAGTACGCCCCGCATACCTATGGAGTACGCCCAGCGTACTCGCCCTGAGTCGACTCGGTTGGGTTGACTCGGTTGGGTTGACTCAGTTGACTTGTTAGTTCTGACCAAGTTTGACCAAGGGTAATTCAGGAAATTGTGATTATTTTATTAATGGGAAATGTTTGGACATTTTGGACTTGGGTGGAGCCGATATTCGGGATCAGAGTATTGATCAGTTTTTCGTCAGGCAGTGAGGTGAGTTTTCCTCCCTGTACTTACGGGTCAAAGGCACCAAGGTCGGCCCATTGGATTGATATCCTGCTACACATTGATATGCTGAGTATGGGATAGATCTGTATGATTATATGATATTTGTTGATATGCATAGACCGGTAGATCTATAAGAGTACCTGCGATTTCTGACTACATGATTATCTGTCTGTTGATTATGCTTGTTAGTTGTTATATGTCGACATATTGTGTTGGGTTGAGGTTGTACTGCTTTGTGTTGTAGCCAACAAACCCGGGAGCATTCCAGATATGAGCTGAGGGTTGATTGGCATGCCAGACTCATACTGAGGGCTCGAGAGCATTCCCCATACAAGTTGAGGGTCGGTTGGTATGCAAAACTCATATACTGAGGGCCTGAGGGTATTTTAGTCCGATGACTAAGTGAACCCGATGTATATTGGCATTCCAGTCCGATGACTAACTGGTTCAGGGGTAATCTAGACCGTTGGCTATGGACCCGGGGGTATTTCAGTTCGATGACTGATTGGACTGAAACATCCCAAAAATACGGTCCAAAAATTTCGTTTAAAAATCATTTAAGAAAACCATAATTCATCAACATCATAATAAAATCACAAGTCATGTATCCCAAAGACATCATATCAAGATACTGTATCAAAACCAAGTATCAAAACATCATAGTCTAAAACATCCCAGGCTATAAACTGTGGTGTGTGTCATGCAGTCATCCCGAGCTCTTCCCCTTGCTAGTGGAAGTACCTGAAATCAAAACTAAAACTGTAAGCACGAAGCTTAGTGAGTCTCCCCAATCTACCACATACTATACACATAACATGCAACTAGGAGATACGGGCCCCACCCACTCTCATGGAGATTCGGGCCCCTCCCACACTCCATTGTCTAGGAGATTCGGGCCTCGCCCACACTCCGATGTCTAGGAGATTCGGGCCCTTCCCACACTCCGCTACTACATGCATACAAGTATCATACAGACAACAAGTATATCAATTCCTATCAAGCAGTCACATATCTATACTCAATTAATACTACAAGATTCGGTCCCCGCCCATACTCGGCTACTATGAGATTCAGGCCCCGTCCACACTCAGCTACTAACATATCATACTACGGGCCGACATTGGTGTCGTAGACCCGTTCCTACTGAAGGAAACTCACCTCGCAAAGATGACTGCTGAAATCTCGATTGAGGAATCTCCAACGGCTGCTCCCACGACTCCCCGACTATTATTATCACAATAACACTTAGTCAAAACTTAATAATTCTCCTTTGGGTAAAATGACCATTTTACCCCTGGTCAAAGTCAACGCTTTGGTCAAAGTCAACCTTCTGGTTGACCTAACTCGTCGATTTGCTCCATCAACTCGTCGATTCCTAGAACCTGAAATCGCGATCTAACTCGTCGAGTCTCCCCCCCCCCCCGACTCGTTGGTGGTTGTCGAGGCCAACAAAAAAAAATATCCTAAATATTACACACTAAAATAGCGTATAGTGGTAAAGGGGTCGTATCCCTGGAGATTGGTTCAATTTTATAACTCTATGAAAAATCTCTTTGTAAAAATACTTGTAAAATGACAATAAATTAAAAATGGGGGTTTTGGTCTTTTGAAATACTTGAAATAAACTAGAATTAAACTAAGATTTAAATAGACAATTTCAACAAAAATAAGAATTTGATGTAAAATCATTAAGAGAATGATGGTTGACTTAAGGTTTCCTCGCTTTGACTTTTGATGAACACATCATTAGAATCCAATGGTGCAATACTTGATTCAAATCTTTACTTTGGCTATAGTAATCCAAGAAGCTTGAGATTACCTAGACTTTTCTTAGTTGTTAAAATGGTTAGAGAAGCTCATAACAATTTCCTTAGTCAAAGTCACAATTTCCATTAAGCATGTAATTTGTGAAAGTCAACTAGCATTAAGAACCAAAAAGTCACCAAATCCAAGAGGAGTCAAATGCTTTCACTACCATGTTGGAGAAAATGTTTTTATGATTGTGTGAAGCAAAAACAACACAAAAATCATTTGTTGCTTGCTAATTTGAGGATCATTTACTTAATCAAGAAATTATCCAACTAATCACCACAAACACATTTAAACTCATGAATAAAAACATACAAGTAGTGATAAGATGTTAAAACACAAAACATTCCCATAAAGATTTAAGAACAAGTTCATGGATTCTTCAACATTCAACAAAAGTTCAAAGGATTCAACAAAAGTCAACCAAGATTAGTTTAGCCAAGCATGGCTAAACTCAAAGAAACAAATTTAGAGAAGATTGTACCAAACATTAAACAATAATCAAGAGGTGAAAAGATGATGTTCTTGAGGTGTTCTTGGCCTTCAAAAATCTTCAAAACTCCAGAGAGAATGCTCAAAAATCGGATGTCCAAGAGTCCCCCAAAAGATGGGCACCAACCTTCCTCAAATAGCCTTCCAAATGGATTTCCGAAATTACCCCTGCAGGGCCTTGCGCGACCCGCGTGCTGTTGCGCGGGTGGGTTGTGCGGGTGGTTCCTGAATGTGGTCTCTTTGAGGTTTGGGCCTCCATAGCTTAGCCCACTTGGCCCAGTTCGAGTCCAATCAGCTCCTAGCCCATTTTTCTTCAAGTTTTCTTCAATTTAAGCCCAATTTGGCTTCTCCAAATGATCCATAGCTTCCGAAATCGACCGATCATCAATCTCTGCACGCTCGAATATTCTCCCGCATCTTGCAAAATTAAAGTTTATTTCTTCCAAGCCTTCAATTAATAAGCAAGCCGACTCCAAGTATCAACTCCATGATTATAAAGCCCAAGATCCTTGACATCCTCTAAGTCCAATCGCTTCCTAAAGATCCCACTCCGCTAATCTCCTTAAAATCTGCAATTAAGCTTACAAAACTAGAAAGTACCCGAAATTGTCATAAAATAACAAAAAGGAAAATATGCCTGGAAATTAACTAAATTATGGATGAAATATGCTAAAATAAACTATAAAAATAAGTAAATAAAATGAAACTATCACTCGCCGATTTCCCAGGCTACTCATTGTCGCGATCTACCGAATCAACTCGTCGAGTCCCTTCACCGACTTGTCGAGTTCTTCCTTAAGCTAAATCGGGACAACACAATCCAACTCGTCGAGTTCCTATATAGACTCGACGAGTTCCTCTGTCTGTTTGGTCATCTTAACAGATTAAGCCTCTACTCTCCAATCCAACATCCATACTTCATCTACATACTAAAAATGATCTTTTTAGGGGTAAAGTTTCCAACTTTACTCGTTGATAACCCTCCTTAATGGGTTTATCTAAAACCCTAATTCATTAAGACATAGATATTTGTCCACAAGTCCTTATTACTCCAACTCAAAGAATGAAAATGAAGATCTAAGCCCTAGA